TCTGGGTCAATTTTGACTGGTTTCTCATTATGGGCCATATTTTGCTGCTTCTTTGCAAATTATGGATTGGATGCTGGACACTGATTTTACCTTGATGGGTGCCATATATTTTAGTATGCCTGTACATATTTTTTTCTTTTAGCATATTACACAGGTACAAATGATATACATATTCTTAAGCTTTGTTCTGGAACACAACTACTTGGAACCAGATCATTTGGGATTTTACTTTTAAGACTCATTAGGTGGGACCACAGCGGTGTTCACTTGAGGGTTAACTATTCTTTACTACTGAGACAACTATTCTTTACTACTATTATTGGGTACACTCTACCCAATGCCCCATAAATCGTGAAGTTTCCAATTCTGACTGGCGGGAACTGGCATTATGTTTGTGTGCCAGGTGCTGTTATCTCTAACTTTTCGGGATGGTTCTTTCTCTAGCCTTGGGTAGTTTCCTCACATGCATGTGCTGACCAGTACTCAGCTGACTACTCTGCAGACATGTGAAATGTCCTGTCTGCCCAGCTCTCTCCTTTCCAGTGCTCTGTTGTGGTGCTGTCACCGCCTTTGTCTCTCTGGGTTCCACTCCACCTCTTTAACTCCAGGGACCTGCTTGGCCCCACCTTGATTCCTTCTCAACACAGAGGCAATGGCAGGGATCACCTCCTTGGTTCCTTTTCTCTCAGGAATCACTGTTCTTTGCTACATGATGCCCAGGGTCTTTATTTTGTCTGTTTTTTGGTTGTTTCGAGTGGGAGGGTGATCTGGTCCTTGTTCCCCAATCTTGGTCAGAAGCACAGGTCCTGGCTTAACAGTCTTAACCAGCACTTTTGTATTTCTTACTCAACAGAAGAGAATTTCAATATAGCACTTCAATAATTCAAGAGGTATGTTAATGCCCTAAACAGAACATTTGTATACTCCAATACCAAATTCTGACTTAATATTGTTTGTTGATGGACCTTATATTAAAAACGAGGAGGGACAAACAAGGATGGTTATATAAAGGGCACCAAATGTCTCAAAGAATTTAATTCCTTACCAGAAGCCAAATTGTTTAAATGACTAAACTGTGACCTTCTGTAGGGCATGAAAAATTGTGAAAATAAAAGAATGAATATATACTCTAGTAGCTGCAATGCTTTTAGAATAACTCACTTATAGAAACAAAGACATTCCTTTAGCCTCCTCCAGTATCCTTTAAAAATGAACAACAAATGTGAATTAACTGATGACTTGATACTACTTTGAAACTACTGCTGTCATAAAAATAGAGATCCACAATAGGAGTTTGTATGCTACACTATAAAGTACTTTAGCAAATCATCACACTAAACAGGCTGTTCCAATTTTAATGTTCCTCCATAAAGATACCTTACACAACAACAACAAAAAAAATCAACAAATAGAAAATCCATGGAAAAGTTCCAGGAATACATCTTAAATATACTAAATCTTCTGCAAAGATTTAGTGTAAATCTTTGCCAAATTCCGTACAGAAGCACTAAGTATGATCAGGTTGTAAGATTCTTAAGGATAAGATCTAGGGGGCACGGGCAATATATATAACCTTAACACTTGTACCCCCGTAATATGCTAAAATAAAAAAAGAAAGAAAGATAAGAGCTAGCAAAACTAGAATGGTCACTCAGTAACACTGGATAAAACTTCAAACAGACACTTGCTAAAATCCTCTATAAAATAGCCCATCACAGTAGGAAAAAACTGCCACAATATTAACTGCTGCTGGAAACTTTTCTGGATGACAAAGGATGTGGCCAGATCATGTCTCATCTATAAGAAATTGGAAAAATTGTAAAGGTGGGGTATGAACTAGAACCATATCCTAAAAGCCTGAGTGTTTACAAGTGGATTTTATACAATTGCTTCATTCTAATGTGTTTTATATATACATGCACACACTCATGTATCTCACACGCACGCACACACATTTATTTTCTGGATGGGTAGATGTATTTCCCTACCAAAAGGTCAGCACTTACAAGGGCTAAAAAATGATTAGAGTTCGTGTTTCCTACCAAGGACATTCCATCTATCTAATGATATAGGACCACATTAAGCTGGAACAGTTATTCATGATTTGAATTACATAAGCTTTGCCCCTTTAATCAGAATCCTCATTGCTTGGAAACGTCCTCTGGAAAAATAGAAAAGGCCTTAATAGAATTAGAAATTTGTACCCATTAAAGATCCAAAAGTTCTCCAAAGAACTTCCAGAAGCAGATGATCTAGAGAAATTGACTTTTAACCCAAAAGCCTCAGAACATGTAGTGACCACACAAAACAGATAGCTTCTGCCTTGGACCATCAGAACAAGATTATTCTGTCACATTCTCTTTCACATATATCTTGTCTGTTATTCTTTTGGTAATACTCTTCTCTTTACTGGTTTAAACATATATAATCCTAATTTAGTTATCATATCCCCCTTGATATTAACAACCATAAGCTTTACTAGAAATGATCACCAAACTATAATTCCCTTCCCCCAAGCTAGTGTAGTCAATCCAAAAAATGATATAAAGGTAGTTACAATATCTTTATCAATAATGATACCCTTGGAGGACAATACGTAAGTGAAAAAAATGTCCTTGTTCTGGACAAGAAGGATATAAATAGCACATAACTGCAACTGTCATGACACCAATCAGGGGCAGTACATTTGTACCCATTAAGATTGATCATCTCCTTTGTATTGTAACTGGGATCTTTCAGGACCAAGGTTTTCAGTGCCAGCTCAGGACCACGGTTAATTATTCTGTGGGGTTCTTGGTTAGGCAGTTTCAAGATTATGACTCCGTAATACCCTCAATTGACTATATCTCCTTATCAAGAGTCTGAAGGGATAAATCCATTTTTGGGGAAAGACTCCTAAGGATAGTGACCTATTCCATAGTAGTTAGACAATTTGAGGAGATCATGAGAAATGTATTCCCTCACTTTGGCTGACCTAGTAAACAACAGAACCAAGGCTTAGAGACACAGCAAACAACTTTAAATTCCTAACCAAATGTCTTGGTCCATTTCTGCTGCTATAACAAAATACCTGAGACTGGGTAATTTATAAACAATAGAAATGTATTGCTCACAGTTCTGGAGGCTGGGAAGTCCAAGGTCAAGATACTGGCAGGTTTGATATCTAGTGAGGTCCCTGTTCCCTCCTTCCAAGGTAGCACTTGTTGCTGGTTGCTCTGGAGGGGCCAAATGCTGTTGTCCTCATGTGGTGGAAGGGAGAAGGGTAAAGGGCCTAACCTAGTTCCTTCCAGCCCTTTCATGAGGTTCTGTCCTCGTGACTTAATCAGTTCCCCAAAGGTCTAACCATCTTACTACTAAAGAGCAATGGGGATTAAGTTTCAACATGAATTTTGGAAGGGACACTTTCAAATCATAAAACCAGAATAGTTATGGGTAATATCCATGAATTTTCTTTTTCTAACCAGCGAGGTGTCTGTACCAGTGCTAACACTTCCTATTGTCCCTGGATTAACAAAACAGTTGTTTGATGTCTGTTGTTTAGTGTTAAATGCTTCCATAAAGCCAATGTCCTAAACAAATGATATGAAGACCAAAAGAAGGCATAAAGGATAAAAATGTTTCCAACCTCCCAGGAAGAGATTGTTCTAAAGCCATAATAACAAGCAGCTATCAGAACCAGTTTTTAACTTGTCCACTAGATCACTGACAACTTGCCTTAGTGTACATGTTTTTATAAGCCTCCAAACCAGTGATAGTCCCCGACTCCTGAAAGTCAAACAAGCAGGCATGGACTCCAATAAACATGGCTCTGAATGCCAGTCAATGAACAACAGTCTTACCCTAGCAACTCTGCTGCTACACAGATGTCAACCCGCTTATGCCTCTGAGAGTCTTCTCATCCTTGAACTCCACATTTCCCAAAACCCTATAAGAGATCGACCATCTGTTCTGCTCAGGAAGAACTATGCCCAAGCAACACAGGTCTCCCTTATTATATAGTAAGCAATAAATTCAGCTTTGTCTTTTTATATCAGATATTGAGTAGTAGGCTCATCAACTGCTAACAGTCTTATATTTGATGTTCTTTCCAATTTTATAATTGCTTACTTGATTTAGGTCTTGATAGTAGCAGCAGCAGCTACCATTACTTGAGCATTAATTAAGCCATGTATTATGCCAACCATTTACATATGTTAAATCTGTATTACCTAATCCATCATTCAATATCTGAAATAAAAAGACAAAGCTGAAGTTATTACTTACTATAGTAAGGAAGAGCTATGTTGGTCAGGCATAGTCCCTCTGAGCAGAACAGACTGCTGGATTCAACAAATTTACTTTTTTTTTTTTTTTTTTTTTTTTTTGAGACAGAGTCTCGCTTTGTTGTCCAGGCTAGAGTGAGTGCCGTGGCATCAGCCTAGCTCACAGCAACCTCAAACTCCTGGGCTCAAGCGATCCTTCTGCCTCAGCCTCCCGAGTAGCTGGGACTACAGGCATGAGCCACCATGCCCGGCTAATTTTTTTATATATATATCAGTTGGCCAATTAATTTCTTTCTATTTATAGTAGAGACGGGGTCTCGCTCTTGCTCAGGCTGGTTTTGAACTCCTGACCTTGAGCAATCCGCCCGCCTCAGCCTCCCAAGAGCTAGGATTACAGGCGTGAGCCACCGCGCCCGGCCAACAAATTTACTTTTAAATGACCAAGGAAGCCATAAATACAATCTCTGAGATGTCTTTTTAAAGAATAGAGATATTAGTCTTTTTAAAGATATGCTGGTAATCACCCAACACAGAAGTGTGTAAGTTTACAAGACAGTGGAAGAGTTTTTACCATTTTCCAGGTGATTCTATTTCTAGGGATTATATACTGAATGTTAGACTAGGAATTCATTGAAACAAAGTATCATACTATTTAGTAGCCATATCATTTAGTACCTTACTAAATGCCTTTTGATAAAATATACTTAGAAAAACAGCCAAGTATCATGCAACAGCATCTCCTATCATACCAATATAGATTTATTGAATAGAAATGGGGAAAGGGACAAAAAACATGGGGTGGTTCTGTACTTATATAAGAGTTCATAACAGGATAAACTCAGGTCCAAAATCTTCAGGCCACATTAAAGACTTCATGTTCTTTTGACTGTAGAAACAGGCCAGCCCTAGGTGCTGGGCATGCAGAATCACGGAGGTGTAGCTATACACAAAGAAGCTCCATTGTCAAGGACATCACTTCCTCTCTAACTCAGAATGACACTTCTTGGGCATGAGCCTAAGATTCTGTTTATCCTCCCATCGCTGTAGAACAGATTGGCTGGACGTGACATTGTGCCTTATATCTTGGTCCTGTTGGAAAGAAAACACACCTACCACTGACTGTTCAAAACTAACTGCAGCAATTAGGATTTGTTTTGCCTCTATGAATGTCATTTATTCATCAAGATAGGTGGTTCTAATCTAGACAGTTTGGAAGAGGAGGAACTTTATAAGAAAAATAATTTAGTTCACTGGTTTTCTAGCAGTAGTTTAAAGAAACTAAAGATTAACAGAGAGAGCAGTTAGATGATTAGAGAACTTCTATACTTAGAAATACGAGAAGCAAAAATACAAAATTGTTTAAGGCAGCCATGTCTTAACTTTACCTCTTCCTGCCACCCGTCTTCCCGGGGAAGCCTTTGCAACCGGTTTTTTGTCAGCTCAAGTTGTAGGCCATCAAACCTGCATTTAAACCAACGGTGAGCTTCTTCCAGGTTAGCTGTTATCTGTTCATGTAAATGTTATCATTAAAAGTTACAATAAAGAAACAGTTACAAGTTTTTTGTGTTCCAGAGACTTTTTAACTGGATAGTAAAGCACCCAAATTCTGACTGCAAGATCCCTACAACCTATTTGCACAATATAATTAATAATCTATAGAAGAGAGTAATGTCTAAATCAGGGATTAAAGAATGCATGCAGGCTTGCTGCTTTTAATGCATTTGTTATTATATTATTTCCTGAATGTATACCAAGGTAAGAAAGCATCCAGGAGAAAAGAAAGAATGAAAGTACAAGATGACATTGAAAATGAAACGGATACATATGAAGTATTCTTAAGAATGTAGTATTTCAACCCATATTTTAAATTTCTGAGTTCTGTTCTCTAAGACCAGGCATCCTCAAACTATGGCCCGTGGGCCACATGCAGGTGTTTTTGCCTGTTTTTTTTTTTTTTTTTTTACTTCAAAATAAGATATGTGCAGTGTGCATAGAAATTTGTTCAGTTTTTTTAAAACTATAGCCCAGCCCTCCAACGGTCTGAGGGACAGTGAACTGGCCGGCCCCCTGTTTGAGGACCCCTGTCTAAGACTAAGTACTTCTCCAAAGTACCTAAATTATAAAGGTTAAATGTTTCTGTTGTGCTTTTTAAGGTAATAGAAGGAACTACTAAAAAACTGGACCAGCTTAGTGTAAAATTGTATTGTATTATTTTTATTTCCTGTATCATCAAAAATATTTTTGTACTTTGGGTCCTAATCACAAACTTCCAAGTTATCTTTGCTAGACGTGAAAACAGTCCTTTTCATGGTCTATAGTTGACGATGATCTGGAATCACTATTCATGTATTTGACAACTATTTTTTGAGTGCCTGGGTATACCTGGCACTTTTCTAAGTACTTGGAACATTTTGGCATTTTGAGGTAGAGCCAATAGGTTTTTATATATAAAGTTGCTTTAAAATAGCTCCAGAACATGTCCCCTAGAATAAAAAGTTAAATGACTGGTTTTTCCTATTTGGTTAATTATGTTTCATGAACCATGTTTTCATTTTTGATTCTGAAGTCTGACAGGGTGGTGTGATTCCCTCTTGACTGAAAGAAGGCAAGTTCCATGAGAGGAGAGGCCCCATTCATCTTGCTCACTCTGTATCTCCCTCACTTAGCAGGGTATCTGACATATAACAGGTCCTCAATAAGTATGCGCTACTGTGTACTTGTTCCATATTAGCCAGGTCATAGTGTGGGTACACTATAGTGAGATAAGAAAACACAACTTCCCTTTTATAGTATCATTTAACTTTTAGAAAGACACTAAGCTAAAATATTTTCCAGATCTGTTTGTGCATCCTGATAACAGGTATGACCCTAGCCCCCAAACCAAACCAAAATTCACCTCCCACCTTTCTCTAGCATTCTTTACCAGGCATGGAGGGAAAGATGACTGAAATGGCATTGCACATCATATCTATTATTATTACTGTATGGGAAATGAGAAGGGTGCTAACCTTCACTGAAACTTATTCTGATCTATCAGAATAATGCAGTAGACATTAACTTCCTGACTTTTACAGATATGATAACTGATGGCTTAAAGAAAGTAAATGTAACTGCCCTATGGGCACACAGAAAGTGTCACAGTTGGCACTCAAACTCAGATTTGTCAGAGTCCGTATTCTAATATATCATCCTGAGAGTCATACTGTCATTTAATTTAATGGCTATACCAGGGACAAATCATAATCAACTAGAAGCAACATCATTGTGATACCTTAAGCTTAAGAATCTGTTTTCTTATCTGGAAAATGAGGGCTAGTTGTAGTAAACTACTGATCTCAAAGATCCTTTCTAGCTCTAAAAATGTTTGATTTAAATACCCTCAAAAAGGCCAATTTAAGTTTAGAAAGGAGAAGCAAATTCACAGATTAATTAAGTAGGGCCTACTTTACACTTCTAGTTACTGATTAAACAAAAAGCTTCCACTTTCATTAGCTCATCAAACAATAATATATTAAAATTCAAACACATGCTGGTCTTCCCTTATATGTAGTGGTAAGGACTTGGATTTCTGGTTTAATTAATATTTTAGCATTGTTTTATCTATCATCAGGACACAGAATCTTAATCCAAACATTACTTATTCTTTACAATAGAGACTACACTTAGTAAGTTATTGTTGGTTCTTGCCTGTTGCATTCCAGACAAATACATTAATGAAGGATTTCACATTGATTTGTGTGCTTTAGAACTGCTGTACTGAAGGAAACTTGTCTAAGTTATGTCCATGGGTCTGGCTCACCTGCTCTGATTCTACACTGGCTTCTTTCAGTTTATTCTCTGTTGCTTCTTTACATTTCTTCAAGTGTCTGACAGCGTCTTCCAATTCCTGAAAATGTGATACAATGATTTTTATAAACTTCTTATGCACCACATGGAACCACTTTTATCACTTTTGTAATAAAACTGCAACCAAATTATGAAAGTGGGGTGAGCTACCTTCTCAGTTCAGGTGCTACCAAAATAAAAAATGAAAACTGTTATTTTCAGTTTAACATATATTCTACATATATGTATATGATTACAAATTTTGATTTTGATTTATAGTTCTACTGAGAGAAACTGATTAACACCTCTTTTCAGAATTGGAGGGATACTTTTCATAGCAGACAATCTCTATTGGAAGACAAGAGCTCATTGATCTCTTAAAGTCCCTTCTCAGTGATATGTAATGTTATGCTTTTTATTAGGCTAGGAAATAGTTAAAAGTCCTGTAACAGCAGCAGATATATCTGTGCTACAGGGAAGAACCAAGGGGTATAAAGTTCCTGAAAGGTTATGAAATCCAGTTCAGAAGTCTTACACTTAGTTGCTGGCATTTTGCATACGTAAGCTCTAGCAATTCTTTAAAAATGGACATTTTTACTAATTTGAATGAAAATAGACAACATTTGCCACATTCAAAGCTACAGGTTTCTTTCTAGATACTATTATTCTAAGGACTTATTCTAAGATTAACAACTTATAAACGTATGCTTCTTCTATAGAATCTAGAAAATCTAGGTGCACTAATGCTGGGTTTTAGCCCAAACCATTTGCTGATAATCTTTGAGATGAATCTAAGAAACGTCTTACCTGGCATCGTTTCTCTAGTTCCTGCCTTCTTCTCCGCTCTGCCTCTAGCCGCAGCTCTTGCTGTTTATTCCGTGCTGAAGTATCATATTGGCTCTTGGCCAACATCTGCATCTCTTTCTGCAGGTTAGTCATTTCAGATACAAACCTCTGGATACTCAATGACTAAGAGAATACAAAGAGAGAGACATTTAGTGAACCTGTCCAAATTTGGGATATTACATGAAAGGTAAATAGAGTTTGTGGAAATCATCTACCTGTTCATAGTTTTTTTTCTGATATTGATCCTTAATTATCTCCATTTGCCTCAATTCTGTTTCTATTTGCTGAAAGTAAATGTGGAAATAACATAAAAAGATGATCAGTGGAAAAACTAGTTTGCTCTTTTTGCCTATAGGATGGCAAACAGAATCCCATATGAGACCCCAAAATTATCAGTTCCTGCTGGGCTTTCCCATCTGGCACACGGATCCCAAAAGAGCAAAGTCCAGTACATCAGCATGGAAGGGGCAGATGGGGAGCCAAACATGATGCTGGCAGCTAATAAGAAACCATTTACACAGCATCATCTCCACTGAAGAGAGATGGTCCTCCCATAAGGCAATCTGCCCAATTCCCAGAGAATACAGGCTGCTGGTAGGATTCTAAATCCTACGTCCCCAGACACCATCAACTGCCTGGATCCTCACAGGGCACTAGGGAAGGAAGTGATTAGAGACTTTGGGTTTCTCATATAACCTTCATCCTCTCTACATTCTGAGCATTATTCGCCTTAGCCGACAAGTGGAGCTTAATTTGGGCCTTTTGATTCTTTATTTTCTCCTTGTTACTGTTCAGTGTTTTTTCAAGCTCTGTAAGTTTCTGCCGCAGCTCTCGGTTGGTCCGGGACACTTCCACTGATCTGAAGTTGGCTTCGTCAAGGGCTTTCTTCAGCTTGAAACACAAAGGAAAAAATTGGAACCTTTTTACCCTCCATTAAGAGAAGCCTGTTTAGTTTTTTCCCTATGTTTTTCTGTCTTTGATTCTTTCTTTTAAAAAGGCGTGTAAGTGAAGCAATAATAATAATGTTTTTGATTGAGCAGTTTTATGGAGCAACAGATCAAGTGATTTTCATAATTTTTAACACTAAAGAACAAAATCTTTATTAGAATAAAGAATATAAATGTATAGTCATTATTTGCATTTTAAGAACATGGCTTTGGAGTCAGACAGACCTAAGTTCAAATCTCAGCTTCACCACTTACTAGCCAAGTGATTTTGGGCAATTAACTACCTTAAGCCTAAGGTTCATCATTTGAAAAGCATGTGTGTAGCCTGCTTCACAGGATACATGTAACAGTTAAATTAAATAAGATAGTATAGGGAAAGAATGTAAAGTCCGACACACAGTAATTGCTTGCTGATTATTACCATGCTATAAGCTTTTCTCTTCCTTTCTGTCACTTGTAGCCTCATATTTGAGGCGTGAAAATGAATTATATGGTAGTTTACATAAATACTTGTCAGCTATTGACTACCACTGCATGTACTTTTATAATAATGCTTTTTAATTCTTAAGGATTTTAATAAATTATCTTGTGAAAAGATAGCATGGTGATTACTTAATTTTACAGAGTCCCCCTCCTCCTAATGTGCCCTTAAGTCAATGCCACTTGGATTTTAAGAAAAAGAGGCAGCTGAGAAGGGAAAAAAAAGGAGGTGGTATTCTCTACAGCTGGTAGCATTTAACACAGCAAAGAATGAAGTCAAGGCTATCTGTACCTTTTTTCTCTATACTAGTTCCTTCCTTTAGATCCTAACTTTACACCAGAGTCTTTTATCACCACCTAGCTACCTCCCTATTAGATATTCCACTGTTACCTCAATCACAGCTTTGTCTAAAACTGGATAAGCCCTGACAACTATCACTTACTTTGTACTGATTATGTTTAGGCACCGTGATAATTACATTATACATACTTTCCAATTTAATCCTCAAAACAAACCTCAACAGTAATTGTGATGGTTTCCATTTTATGATTAAGGACACTGAGACTCAGAAGTCACTTACTCAGATAGTAAATTAACCATTACTAATAACAGGCAGAGCTGGGACTCAGGCAATGCTCCAGGAGCCCACTGCTGCTGCTAACTTCTCACACTTTCACTGTTCTCTGGGTCTCCTCACAAGTTCACCATCATTACTGATCCTTGTTAAGAAGATTCAGCTTCATAAGTATTCTGAACAGTGATCTCTAATTAAAGGTATATTTCTACATTTAGTGCACATTTTTATTTCCCACAGAATTTTCTTTTTATAATATATTTATATTTATACAATGCTTTGAAATTCACAAAATTGTCCTATCAATACATACTATTAGCTCAGTTTGATTTTGTGAATGGTCTTTGTCAACTGCAATTGCTAAATGTAACAAATTTAGCAGAACATAGACCAGCCAGCTCAACCAAGGAAATTATCTTGGTTTAATCTTAATTTAATTAAGGTAATTAAATACCTTAATTATCTTAATTATCTCACTCCTTTTTCATGATATAAATATAACATTTAATGTTTGACAATTTTTTTAATTGAAATGGCTTTCTTATTTAATTGTTCTCTATTTTCAACAGAACTACATTTCTTGGTCCTAATTATCTAATACTCAAATTGACAATTATAGTTTTCATGAGCCTCCATGCCTCTAGTTACTCTTCACTCTTCCCTGCTCACCTGTTGCATTAACCTTCCTAAAATTATGCTTATATCACACCACCCCTGCTCAGAAACCTGTAGTGCTCCATTTCTACCTACGAGTTCACATCCAGCATTCTGGTTGTTAAGGCCATCAGCTGGTCCCATCTAAGTAACACTCTTTCTAAGTCTCGATTCTATACTCTCATTAAGCTTCCCTTCTTCTGTCACCCAACCAAACTAAAATGAACTTCCCCTTCTTTGAATTCCTTCAAAACTGTACACAGCCTCCACTTATCCAAATAAGGTTCTCTGATGTTTTCCCTATTTGTCTAATGTCCAGAGTGGAGATCACAAGGAAACAGAGGTCATTTAGCACACACTAGAGCATGGACCATGCCTTCTACTGCTTTCTCTGTGCTTCTTAGGAGAGGGTGGATGCAGAAGAGATGGCAGCTAAGTGAACTGAGGAGATGGCTGACTGGATTTCCGTCAAGCAGATAGCAGTCTCCTAATTCCTCGATCCCACCCTGTCATCCCTCTGACAGAAAGGCTCTCATCAAGGCATTCCTTTGCTGGGCAAAGAACTGTACAACAGAAACTATTTTCTTGTGTGTCCCTTTACAAACTACATAGAGAGGTTTCAATTGCATTGGGCTTGCTGACCAAAGGTGGATTATAAGAACCAAAGAACTGTAGCCATTCTCTAAAATCCTTTAGCTGCTTATCCTCGTGAGAGGCATTGCCTAGAGAGAAATTTTTTGTCATGACTCCATACCTCAGTCATTTCCCGTTGTGCCGCTTTCTTTGCAGTTTCTCTTTCAGTCTGAAACTGCTTTCTTAGAGCTTCTAAGCGTTCAGCATGCAATTCTGCTTCTGCTTTGGACTCCTCAGTCATTCGCTCTCTGTATTTAAGAAGACAGATGATAAATTACCTTTAGAAATCATCTTAAAAGGTAAGAAAGATTTGGAGGGGAACATACAACTCTCCAAAAAGTGTGTGATGTGTGATTTATAAACAAGCAGCAAATCAGTCACCAGGTGAACCTCACTGATCTGGAGCTCATAAACAAGAAAAAAGAAGTGCATTTATGTAGAACATTAACAAAAATTCTACATAAAGAGATCCAATCAAAAGAGTAAAAAATTCACATCGAAGAAAAATATTAAAAGCAGCAGTGATACTGTAAAAGAGATACTTGTTTTTGTCTTGTCAGGTCTTTTTGCTAGCAGCTATTTGCTCCCTAAGTTTTCACTTCTATTTATATTGTTTCCTTATCTTTATAGGGAGAGTCTTATATTAGACCAGCATTCTTAACTCAGGCTCCTTGGTCAAGATCCATGTATAGGCCTCTAAGGGTGCCAGAATTCCCTGGAATGATATGCAAAATGTGTGTGTGTGTGAGCCCATAGCTTCTGACTCTTAAAAGGATAGGTGACTCTAACAAAGATTTATAACCAATGGACTTACACAATCACTAGGTTCCTTCTAGCTTTAATATTTTCTGTTCTAGCTGATAATGACTTAATGTGTGATTACTCCTTATCAGAACACAGTCATCTTACTCTTAACTTCCTCTATGGAAAATACAATATCAGACCATCTACCATCAGCTTCCTCAATAGTCTTCTGGATGGTCACCCATCTTCTCCTTCCCCCTAGTCTCAGAGGAAGAAATGTCCAACCTCATTTTTAATGATAACCTTTCCACTTATGCTCTCACTCTTGTTTTTCTCCAGTTCAATCAGGTTCTTTCCCATACTTTTTTTATCATAGTCCATTTTCTCCTACCCTAAAAACAAGGCAGCAGCAGAATAACTTGTCTTCATGTTATACACTTGAGATGCTATCCACAATTTTCCATCACCACTGTCCTTGTCATCCTTTTCTCATCAATTGCTTACTCTTTGTAATCTTCCGTATCTATAGAAATTGGTCAGCTAGAGGATGATCAGTGGAAACCAGTTGCAAAACCCAGTGGCCTTCTCTCTGGTCTTATTCTCTTTGACTCTGCAGCATCTGACTCACTCATTTTCGCCTTTGGTGATGTTGCATCCTCCCTATACTTTCCTTACCTCCCTAAATGCTCCTTCTATGGCCTCTTTTCCTTCCCCCTGAAATATAGTAGATCCTCAAGTTCTGGCCTGGGTTCTCTCTATATACTTCTAATGTGGCAGTCTAACCAATGTCAAGGCTTTCACTTTTTAGCTTTCATTTTGATAGAGATGGATTACAACTTGAAGCCTCTTTAAGAATTAAACCTACATTTCCATTTCTTTCTGTTTTGTTTTTTTTTTTTTTTTTTTTTTTAGAGACAGGATCTCACTCTGTCATCCAGGCTGGAGTTCAATGGTATGTCAACGGTATGTTCGTATGTTCATAGCTCACTGCAGGCACATGGTACCATGCCTGGGTAATTTCTGTAAAAATAGAACTAGGCCTGCATTTCTAGTCTATTAAATGATTCCACCTCAAACTCAACATGTCTAAAATATAATCTCCCAAACTTGTTCTGTCTTTCTGAGTGTGTGCACTGATAAATACAATTTTGCATATAATTTCAGGAAGTTCACAGATCTCAAGTAAAACAGCATGATTCACCTTTGATGAAAATATTGTAAGCAGTGGCATAAAGGTGAATTCTGAAGCAAATGCTGCAAGGGGACCTCTGACTCTCACTTCATCCTTTTCATATAAATAACCTAGCTATGTTTAGTTATTTTATTTTTTTTAGCAGTAGTGGCAGGGATTACATTTTATGGTCACCTAAAGAAGAACTTCCAGAATTTTCAGGCTTTGGAACAACTACTAACCATCTAAACCATAACTACATAAACTGATATGAAAGAGTTTTTAAATGACACCAACCACTATATAAACACAATATGGAACAGTCTTGAGCAGTAACATTTCACCAGAATATAAAATTTGCACACATCACATATATGAAAAATACCTTCTTAGGTATATGCTTTAGCTTATACCTTTCCTTGTATTAACATGTTCATTAACTGAAAAGAATAAAGATTTACGTGTACATTACATTTCCTTTAAGTATAAATTTTCATGGAATGTTATTAATATCTAAATCATATTTACCTAGATATAATTTAAGACAAAAGGTTAGTGGCTTGACCTGAACTTGATGGGTTTCATCTAACTAATCTCAGGTCAAAACTGAAAACAATTAATGGCTTAACATCTGCTTAGATAGAGTCATCCCATTTCTGGATGTGTTATTCTCACCCAGGCTACTGTTTTTCCTTGTTCAAATCACACTTTTAAAGGACACACAAACTGTTGATAGAAAAGGGTTGGCAGAAACATGTGGGTGTCCCTTCTATTCAATATTATTCAATTTGTGGTTTAACCTTTGTGTAAAGAAGCAGCTTGATAGTAGATGAGAGAAGAGCTGAAAAGGAGAGTCAAATGAGCCCAACCCAATCAGCTACTACCTGCTGATGCTCAGCTATGCCTGGTTCCTTAACATGGCTCTGCTGAGAGTACTAGTTCCACGTAGAAGAGGGCTTAACTGGTTTATGTGAATGAGTCAGTCTTACTCCTGCAGAGGTTCTTCCCTAATTTTACTGTGACTATACTGCCCTTACTTGAATGTTTGCAAATTCTGTCGCTCAAGCTCTTTTTTTTCCAATTTCTCTTGAATGTGATCTAACTTTGTTTGCAGATGATTATTTGTCTGGAGAGCTTGTTCCAGACTCATAGCCAATTTCCTGTTGTCTTCTCTAGCTGTATCTAGAGCTTTTTGTAGAGGTTCCATCTGAAAAAGAGAATAATGTTTTTCATTCAACTATAACAGATGCAAAAGTTCATAACACTATATATCACTTCTTACATTGTATCATCAAGTGTCATTGAAACAATAATTAGTTGGAATCAGAAGCAAAGATTCTAGGTGCTAAGAATATATATGTGTGAACTTATTACAGACATTTATCAGGAGACTCTTAGAGGGAGTGGGAAGGATATGCTCCTTTGACACCAGAGAGCATTAGAAAAGAGAGCCAGCTTAATTTATCCTAACTTTTAAAATTTCAAAGTAAATTCTGCTTCCTGATCCTATGACCATCTGGTCTTACTCTCTAGTAAGATAAAAACTGACAACTCTTCCTTGTATATTATTTCAGAAAAAGCTTATTTATATGAAATATCCATGTGTATTTTATACATATACATATGTTAGCTACACATGCATTTATGTGCATGCACCTGTGAGCACACACATGTGTGTATGTGTTTCCTTGTTAATAGTGGGACCACTCTAGCTACTTCCGAGACTATAAATTATTTTCTAAGCCTGTTAACTTCTGAAATCATTAGTGCATTAGTAAGTGAAAAGAATGGAGACCACATCAGACAAAGAAAATTAGGCATAATTGTGGTGCTGGTTTGTCCATAAGTGACTCATTGTAAGACTGCAGGTCCATTTCCCATTTGTAAATATGTCACTGTCCAAAATTCAGACTTGACTGAAAAGGAAATTTACCTGATTGTTTCACTTCATTTTTCCAAAATAGCAAATATTCCAATTAAACTAAAAATATGAGTGTTGACATCTATAAAAGCAAGGCCTCTACCTCATTATTGTGCTGGGAATCCACAACAAGCATTCTGGCCTGCCACTGGTCCACTTCAGCTTCTAGCTTCTGCACCCTCTGTTGGTTGAGAGCCCTAAAAATAAAAAGCACAGAAAGAGTGTTAAGAGTGACAAAAAGAATGAAAAGAATCATCTAGGAATGATACTACTTGGGAGTTACAGTCTTCTTCCAAGAAGCTCAAACAGCATCACACACAATGGACCACAGATGCTCAAAATATCTGAGATTTGGTAGATGACAATTAGTAACCTCAGTTTCAGGTTAAAGAAAACTAAGGTTCCTAGGAATTAAATAACTTGTCCCATCTATGATTCAATTTAGCTTGATACATTAGCTATCAATACATGTTTCTGAAACTAACTTATGGGCTGGTAATTTTACACTATATATATATGTATGTGTGTGTATATATACATATACACACATACATATATATCACTATCACATATATGTATCACATATATCACATATATGTATATATACACACACACACATATATATCACTAGTAAAAAAAAAATCACCTTTACAAAGATAGGCTTGCTGTTGAGATTTTTGTTTCTAAATATAAAGCTACCTATTTTAATAGAAATTTATGGTGAACAGTAAACAATATTTTTAGTACCATCCCCTTGACTTTTTAAAATTCAAAGGTAAAGGCCGGGCGCGGTGGCTCACGCCTGTAATCCTAGCTCTCTGGGAGGCCGAGGCGGGCGGATTGCTCAAGGTCAGGAGTTCAAAACCAGCCTGAGCAAGAGCGAGACCCCGTCTCTACTATAAATAGAAAGCAATTAATTGGCCAACTGATATATATAGAAAAAATTAGCCGGGCATGGTGGCGCATGCCTGTAGTCCCAGCTACTCGGGAGGCTGAGGCAGAAGGATCGCTCGAGCCCAGGAGTTTGAGGTTGCTGTGAGCTAGGCTGACGCCACGGCACTCACTCTAGCCTGGACAACAAAGTGAGACTCTGTCTCAAAAAAAAAAAAAAAAAATTCAAAGGTAAAACACTTTCCTATTATGTAAAAAAAAAAAAAAAAAAGATAAGCACAATGAAGAAAATAAAACTCACTTATTCTCTCATGACATAGAGACAATATGCACCACTAACACAGACAACATATTTTAGAAGCCCTACTAAATTCAGACCATTTGTTATTTAATATAAAAAGAAAATTTATGTAATTTTTGAAACATTCAACAAAGGAGTTTACTTACTTATTTTTTTTTTTTAAGAGACAAGTGTTACTATGTTGCCCAGGCTGGTCTTGAACTCCTGGCCTCAGGGAATCCTCCCACAGTTTGGCCTCCCAAACTGCTGAGATTACAAGCATGAGCCACCACAACCAGCCAGAGTTTACTTATAAAATATGGTTAGAAGTATTTCTCGGAATGATTCACCTTGAATAATTAATCCTGAGATAGGATAGTAACAAATGGATAATTAAATGAAACTCAAATATACACTTAGCTTCAATTGTCTTGACAATTACTGTTCTGCAGACCCAAGGGCAGAATTAGGTTTAAATGATAAAGAAAGCAGCAACAGTAAAACAGTAGTATAGCTCATGAACTTCTAGGATACATATTCTTTTATATCACTACAAAATAGGGAAATTTTGAATTTTGGGGAATCATGTTGATTTCTAATTCTAGATTTTCTCTAACTTGCTAGTTCTTTACAGACCATTTTACTAGTCTTTCCCAAAGGAAACAACATAAAGTGACTTAATTTACTGACTGGACACTGTTCCTTAGTACAACACAGCAATATCAAGCACAGAAAAATCACAGGTACCTTTCCTTCTTGAGGCCTGCGATTTCCGAATCCCTCCGCCCAAGCTCTACTTGTACTTTCTCCAGAGCACCTTGCATCTTACTGTGAGAAGCCAGCACATTCTCCAACATGATTGTGACTTTGCAGTTGTCTTCTTTAGCCTCTGCCAATTGTCGCTGAAAGTTTCCCACCTAGTAGAAAACGAAACAAGACAAAGATCCTTTTTGCTTATTCTTTTGCTACTGTGTCTCCTTACTCCTAGGAAAGGGCACAAAAAGCAGGTACAGTAGAATGCTAGGAGAAATAATTAAAGTCTATTTCATTATGTTGTTGTTTCTTAAGTTATTGTAACTTGTGAAAAAGACTCCAGATCCTATGAAGAACTCTGCAGCTTTCCAACTGTTGTCATGTCACAGAGCACATATTAACTAGAGACACTAAGTCAACACATTCTTGACTGCAGAGGTGGTCCCAGGCTGGCCTCTCAGCTCTCTTCTGATGAGGTCAGACAAGAAGAATGCATCTAAAACTCATTGGGATTATCTGAGAAAAAAAGTCTATAAAAGAAAGTGGAAGCTGCTGAAGAATGATGAAACTCATAGCTCTCCTCAGAGATGCAAAGTCTAGACCCGGCTGTCAGAGAGAAGTTTGGGATGTGACCTCTGCTCTTATTAAGCACACACAGTTAATGAGAGAGCAACACAGTAATATTATGTTAATAAAACATAAGTTTGAAGGTTATTATTAATATTAATATTACCAAGCTCAGATGTGTCTTAATAGAAAAAATTGGAACTTTCTGAGTATTTTAAGACAGAAAGGTCAAAAAAAATTGGGAGTTAAATATAATGTATTTTTTAAGGAAAATATTTTAAAACTATTCTATAGTTATCTTTTCTCTAGAAAAAGAAATCCTCCTTTGATCAATCCTCACTCTTTCTTACTAATGGAAACAAAGTAAGGAACATGGCTCATGAACGATTTCATAAGTCTTTCATCTTAGTAACGGATTCTCAGAAGAGGCTGATGCCTTGCCTTCTTGTTTTCCCTGTCCTCCAAAGCCTCGAGGTCTTCTTTCAACTTCTGACTCTCTTTCAGGGCTGCATCACGACACTTAACTGTTCGAGACAGCTCCTCTTCACTTTTTTCAAGAATGGATTTCACCTTAGGAGAAAAAAAGAAACAATAAATAACACTCCTAAACATAATAAATCATTTTTTACAATAAGACCCAGCAATTTAGAAGCCAAATTTAAAATGTTTAATTAAATATATTTATTCATTACCTTAAATGAAACTAACCCATCTTTATTAGCTGTTTATTCCTTTAAAGAAAACTACAACAAAAGTATCTGTGTGAAGATGGGCAAACCTAATATATTAGTCTCCATGAAAGCATAGGAATGGGGAGAATAAGACTAACTATACAAAGCTGAGATGTAAAATGGGGGGAGTAATTGATTATCATGGAAATACCTTCCTTTTGAACACAAAACAAGCATACAAATTAATTTTATAAAAGCAGAGATGAGTAAGTCCCAAATACTGTCAAGAAAATAGTGTTAAAGCAGAATGAATCCTAATTACAAATACAGGATTAGAATTTCATACACTTAAAACACTTTTAGTAAATCCACACAATCATTTCAGATAATCATACTATTTTAAATATTATTTTTTAAAACTTTTTATTTCACAATAATTATAGATTCACAGGATGTTGCAAAAATAGTACAAGTCCCATGTACCCTTATTCCTGCTTCTAATGGTGACATCTTATATTGCTGTAGTTCAACATCAAAACAAAGAAATTGACATTGGTACATTATTAACTGTATTAACTAGATTACAGAATTTATTCAGTTTTCACCATGTTTAACCTTTATTCATCCATGTATGTGCATGCACACATAGTTCTATACAATTTGATCCCATATACATATTCATGTAACCACCACCATAATCAAGACACAGAACTCTTTTATCATCACAGATGAGTTCCCTTGTCCTTTCTCTCTATATTTGCCCCACCCTCCAAAAATCCATCTTGTCCTCTGGCAACCACTAATTTGTTCTCTATCTCTATGGTTCTATCCTTTCAAGAATGTTATTTCAAACATTTTAATATAATAAATTTTTGAATAGGTAATACATTCATATTATTCTTTTTTTTCAGCATATTATGGGGGTACAGATTTTAAGGTTTCAATAAATGCCCTCCCCCCCATATTATTCTTTTTTAAACAGCTTTACTGAGGGATAACTGACAATAAGCTGCACATACTTAAAGTGTACTATTTGATAAGTTTTAACATATGTATAAGGCCTTAAAACCATAATTGAGATAGTGAACATTTCCATCATCCAAAGAGTTTCCTACCACCCCTTTCTAATCGCCCCCTTTTATTTCCCTATTACCGCATCCCAACTCTAGGTAACCACTTATCAGTCTTCTGTCACAATAGTTTGTATTTTCTAGAATTTTATATAAATAGAATCATATTGTATGCACTCTTTTTTAAATGGCTTCTTTCACTCAGCATAATTATTTTGAAATTCATCCAATCTGTTGCATGTATCAATAGGTTATACCTTCTATTGCTTAGTGTTCTATTATATGGATATATCATAATTTACTTATCCATTCATCACCTTCAGTTTTAAGCTATTAATATTACAAACAGAGCTGTTGTGAGCATTTGTACATAAGTCTTTGTGTAGACATATGCTTTCATTTATCTTTGGTAATACTTAGGATTGGCTGGGTCACATGGTGGTAGTATGCTTCACTTTTAAAGAGAGGAGGTCACACTATCACTCTTTACTGATGATATGCTCTTATATCTACAAAACTCCAAAGATTCTGCCAAGAGACTCTTTGAATTGATAAATAAATTTAGCAAAGTCTCAGGTTACAAAATCAATGTACACAAATCAGTAGCATTCCTGTACATAAACAACAGTCAAGCTGAGAATCAACTCAAAGACTCAATATCTTTCACAATACCTATAAATAAAATATCTAGGAATATATTTAACCAAGGAGGTGAAAGATCTCTGCAATAGAAATATGAATCACTGAGGAAGGAAATTTTAGATGATGTAAACAAATGGAAGAACATATCATGCTCATAGATTGGCAGAATCAACATTGTTAAAATGTCCACACAACCCAAAGTGATTTACAGATTTAATGTAATCTCCATCAAAATACCAATGTCATTTTTTGCAGATCTAGAAAAAAATAATTCTATGCTTCATTTGGAACCATAAAAGAGCCCAAATAGCCAAAGCAACCTTAAGCAAAAGGAATAAATCTGGAGACATCACTTTACCAGACCTTAAGCTATACTACAAGGCTATAGTAATCCAAACAGCCTGGTATTAGCACAAAAACAGAGACATAGACCAGTGGAACAAGACTGAGAGCTTAAACATAAAACTATTCTCATACAGCTATTTGATTTTTGACAAAGCAAACAAGAACATATACTGGGGAAAAGAATCCCTTTTCAATAAATGGAGCTGGGAAAACTGGATACCCACGTGATGAAGACTGAAACAGGATCCACATCTCTCACCACTCGCAAAAATCAACTCATGATGGAAAACAGAATTAAACATAAGGCAGGAAACCATACGAATTCTAGAAGAGAATATTGGAAAAACTCTTACAGACATTGGCCTAGGTAAAGAATTTATGAAGAATACCCCAAAAGCAATCACAGCATCAACAAAAATAAATAAGTGGGACTTTATTAAATTAAAAAGCGTCTGCACAGCCAAAGAAACAATCACATAGCAAACAGACAATCTACATCCGATAAAGTGCTAATAACCAGAATCTACAAAGAACTCAAGCAAATCAGCAAGAAAAAAAAGTCAAACAACCCCATTAAAAAGTGGGCAAAAGACATGAGCAGAAGCTTTTCAAAAGAAGATATACTAATGGCTAATAAATGTGAAAAAATGCTCAACATCACTAATCATCAAGGAAATGCAAATCAAAACCACAATGGGATATCAACTAACCCCAGTGAAAATAGCTTTTATCAAACAGTCCTAAAATAAATGCTGGTGTGGACGCAGAGAAAAAACAACATTTATATACTGTTATTGGTACTGCAAACTAGTACAACCACTATGAAAAATGATAATGGCGATTCCTCAAAGAACTAAAAGTAGACCTATCATTTGATCTAGCAATCCCACTACTGGGTATTTACCCAAAGGAAAAAAAAAGTCGTTTGTATCAAAAAGACACTTGCACTCAAATGTTTATCGCTGCACAATTCACAATCGCAAAGATGTGGAATCAACCCAAGTGCCCATCAATACATGAGAAGATTAACAAAATGTGGTATATGTATATCAAAGTGTACTACTCAGCCATAAAAAAATGAATTAATACCTTTTGTAATAATCTGGATGGAACTGAAGGCCATTCTCCTAAGTGAAATATCTCAAGAATGGAAAAACAAATAGCACATGTACTCACTATTAAATTGGAACCAAACAGCACTCATGTGCACAGATGGAAGTCAAACTCAATGGAAATCAAGCAGGTGGGTGGGGGAAAGAAGATGGGTGAAATCTTACCTAATCAGTACAATGCACACTATCTGTGTGATGGGCACATTTATAACTTTGTCTCAAACAGTACAAAAGCAATACATGTAAACACACCATTTGTACCCCTGTAATATTCTTTTTTTTTTTTTTTGAGACAGAGTCTCACTTTGTTGCCCAGGCTAGAGTGAGTGCCATGGTGTCAGCCTAGCTCACAGCAACCTCAAACTCCTGGGCTCAAGCGATCCTCCTGCCACAGCCTCCCGAGTAGCTGGGACTACAGGCATGCGCCACCATGCCCGGCTAATTTTTTTTATATATATAAGTTGGCCAATTAATTGCTTTCTATTTATAGTAGAGACGGGTTCTCGCTCTTGCTCAGGCTGGTTTCAAACTCCTGACCTCGAGCAATCCACCCGCCTCGGCCTCCCATAGTGCTAGTATTATAGGCGTGAGCCACCGCACCCGGCCCAGTCAATATTTCTGAATGTCAATTTTAGGCAATGTACCATTCCAGTCTCTTTGACAGAGAAAGATGAGGGTCCTTCTGTTCAATGAACTGTGAGTTTTTTCTTTTTCTTTCTCTTTTGGTACCAGGAAAGCCTTCCAGAGTGCTAGGATTACAGGTGTGAGCCACCACGCCCGGCCTACTGTAATATTCTGAAATTAAAAAAAGAAATTGCCAAACTATTTCCTAAAGTGGCTAATACTAATAGGTGTATAGTAGTATCTCACAGTGGTTTTATTATTCATATTATATTTAACATCAGTCCCTAATGACTAATGTTAAACATCTTGTCAAGTGTTTCTCTACCATCTATATATCTTATTTGGTAAAATATCTGATCAAGTGCTTTGCCCATTCTTTTTATTGGGTTTTCTTCTTAGTGAGTTTTTGAAATTTTTTATATGTTCTGAAGATAAGGACTTAATTAGTAATGTGATTTGCAAATATTTTCTCCCAGACTATAACTTTTTTCTTCATTTTTGTAATGTCTTTGAAGAACGTAGTTGTCAGTTTTCATGAAGTTCAATCATTTTTATTCCTTTATGGAGGCTTTGGATGTCAAATCTAAGAAATCTTCATGTAATTCATGATCACAAAGATTGCCCCCTATGTTTTCTTCTAAAAGTTTTACAGTTTTAGGGTTTATATTTAGATCTATGATCCATTTTGAGTTAATTTTTACATATGGCATGAGATAGGGATCAAAGATTTTTTTGTTTTGCCTATGAATACACAATTATCCCAGCACCATTTGTTGAAAAGACCATCCTTTCTCTGCTTTCAGTTTTGTTGGAAATGTTCATAAAATTCATTATTTTGAATAGGTGGCACATTACCATTATTCTTAAAATACAAAAGGATTGAGTGAAAACTCTCCCTGCCACCCAGTTTTCTTCCTCAAAAATAATGTTCCCAGTTCATTATGAGTCATTTTAGAGATATATCCTATGCACATACAAGTAAACACATGTGTTTACTTAAACACATGTATATTCTTTATCTCCCCACCTATTTTGTATGCAAATAGTAAAATATTATATTCTTCTGAATTTTGGTTGTTTAAACCTAATAATAATACTTAACTTGAAGCAAATATTGCAAACTATGGATACACCAATATTTATTTAGCCAGTTTTTTCACTTTATTTTTATTTTTTTTTTTTTTTTTTGAGACAGAGTCTCACTTTGTTGCCCAGGCTAGAGTGAGTGCCGTGGCGTCAGCCTAGCTCACAGCAACCTCAAACTCCTGGGCTCAAGCAATCCTGCTGCCTCAGCCTCCCGAGTAGCTGGGACTACAGGCATGCGCCACCATGCCCGGCTAATTTTTTGTATATATATTTTTAGTTGGTCAATTAATTTATTTCTATTTTTGGTAGAGACGGGGTCTCGCTCAGGCTGGTTTCGAACTCCTGACCTTGAGCAATCCGCCCGCCTCGGCCTCCCAAAGTGCTAGGATTACAGGCGTGAGCCACCGCGCCCGGCCTCACTTTATTTTTTAAAGAAACGGGGCTTCACTGTGTTGCCCAGGCTGGTTGGTGTGTTCAATTCCTGGCCCCAAGTGATCCTCCCACCTCAGTCTCCCAAAGCGCTAGGATTACAGGCATGAGCCACTGTGCTCAGCCACAAATCTCTTATTGATGGAATTTTGGTTGCTGTGTTTGTTGCTATTAACCAATAGTACCCCACTAAGTAACTCTGTAAACATGTCATGTGTATAAGCTAGTATCTGTAGAAAAAAGTCCTAGAAGTACATTGTGGAGTCAAAGGTATGATAAATATTGCCAAATTGGCCTCCATAGGAAGTTATACCTTTTACACTCCCATAGCAACAAAGAAGAATGCCTTTTCGCCACATCTTCCTCGACATTATTAGACTTCCCTAAAATTTGACCTATAACATTTAAAATACTTCAACTTCTTCTGGAAGGACCTCACAAAAACACAAAGGATGCTGACTTATAGAGTCTGAAAATCTACTGGATTTTTGTTCTAGAAAAGTACACAAAGAAGAATAGTTTTTGAAATTTTAACAGTGTTTATAAGATACGTAAATACAAAAATACCACTAGTAAAAATGCTTATAGAAAGTATCTAAATAGTAGTCTATTTTAGAAGACAAGCTATAGTACTTTTTTTTTTTCTTTAAGAGACAGAGTCTTGCTCTGTTGCCCAGGTGCTGGAATACAATAGTACAAATCATAGCTTACTGTAACCTTGAACTCCTGGGCTCAAGCAATCCTCCCAGAGTAGCTGGGACTATAGGCATGTGTGCCACCACACCTGGCTAACGTGTTTTTTTGGACAGACAGGGTCTTATGATGTTGCCCAGGTTATATTTAAATATCCATCAAAGATGGATGCTTTTATTTTTTTATTTTTTTGAGACAGAGTCTCACTTTGTTGTCCAGGCTAGAGTGAGTGCCATGGTGTCAGCCTAGCTCACAGCAACCTCAAACTCCTGGGCTCAAGCAATCCTGCTGTCTCAGCCTCCCGAGTAGCTGGGACTACAGGCATGTGCCACCATGCCCGGCTAATTTTTTCTCTATATATTAGTTGGCCAATTAATTGCTTTCTATTTATAGTAGAGACAGGGTCTCGGCTCTTGCTCAGGCTGATTTCGAACTCCTGATCTCGAGCAATCCTCCTGCCTCGGCCTCCCATAGTGCTAGGATTACAGGCGTGAGCCACTGTGCCCAGCCAAGATGGATGCTTTAATAAGTTTTCTCTGGAAAATATTTTCCAATGTTCAATTTCTTAGGGCTTCTTAATGTATTTCAACTTTAAAATCAGACTTTATCCAAGCATTTTAGCTCAAATAGTAAGATTACATAGAAATTTTGAATTTCTAAAAAATCAAAATGAAATAAAAATAACTCAATTGTTACTGTTAAGCCACATTTTTTTCTATGTCCAAAACAAAAATTAATTATGTGATAGTCAGGATGATGGTTTCAATCTATATCATCAGTTTTTCCTATTTGTGAAGAACCTAATTTCCTTGTTATATCTTCAAGTATTATATTTCTAGATTGTTACTATTTTTCTTCATTCTTATATGATCTGAAATTTTCCTAAGTTTTAGTTTGTGGTCTTCACTTACCGAATCCCGTTTAAGTAAATCTGGTGATTCACAACTTAGTAATGGTCTTGAGGCAAGAATCTCTATTTTGCCTTCTAGTCTTCCCTCCATGGTTTTAATAGCATTCAAAAGAGTCTTTAGAGAGATTCTGGAGTCTCCAATCTCCTGAGACGTTCTCACAGAAGACACGGTAGGTGCAAAGCTCACATGGCGTGTAGAGTTTGGAATAACACTAGGCAAACCAACTGAAGTTCTTTCCTTTGAACTGTTTACATGGGACCTAGAGCTTTCAAGGGATTTTGAAGACGCAGGCCTCTCTGGAGATCTCCTTTTTCTTGGAGGCATCACCAATTAAAAATAACAAAAGCAGCTAAACCTACAGTTATTTTTCAAGGAGTACCCACTTTACTAGGAGATACAATACAAATAATGTTCTAGAGAAAGCAACACTGGAAAATATATTTGAAAATATGTTCCTTTGCTTTCAATGAAGAGATCACACTGTAAAGTATGACCTAGTGAAGAAAGAGACTTTAAACCAAATACCCTGTAAGAGAGTGTATCTAAGGAAGCCCCCTTTAACAACTTTGTGACCTCATCACTCAACAGTACAGTCAGTTGGTTAGAACCCTATGAAGGTTCCACTTGAAGACATATTTAAGTTCCTTGGTTACGAGGGGTGTATATATACACAATTGTCAGAGACACAGAAGTCACACAGGCTTATGCTAAGAGTTAAAGATTTTTAAAATACTCAATCTAATTATATACACAGTAAATTTGTAAAGCACTTAAATGAATCATTTTCTTTTGGTAACAGCTTCCTGGGTTATGTTCCCCACTAAATGTTTTATGTATCTTGCTTAACTTTTCTCTATTCATTTGTTAAAATGTCATGTGACCTATGAAAGGTTTTCAGTCTCAATAGCCACCATGCTGACAAGAAAGCACCTTCACTGTAATACCTCTTTCAGGTGAGCGTATCTGTTGCAGGGATACCTTCCTTGTTGACATTGAGTTCTAAGTTTGCCTATAATTCAAAAAAGCAAAGATACTTGTTCCTTCTGTCTGCCAAAAATTTTAAGGCTCAATTTCAAAAATCCTCCATGAAAGCATTTCTCAATGCTTCTAATAACAATGCTCCTATGAATGCTTATTAATACAACCTATTTTTTTTCTGAAAGGCATAACTTTCTGCTAAGTTTATTGAGTACATTCTTAACTGCTCTTTTAGAAGCAAACTGAATGACCCAATCCTGCTTCAGGCATCTTTACAAATTCCTCTGAGGCTTAGCAGAACTCTGTACATAGTAGGTCCTTTAAAAATGTTTGTTGAAGTAAGTCAAGTGAGAGAATATCCATGTTTCTGGTATTGTATGGTAAGATGGGGAGAGAGGCATTGAACAATTTCTTAAAAACTAAAACAGCAGCAATCTACTTTTGTAGATATTAATCACACCTGAGCATATTTGGCTTCTAGAGCCTTATTCAACTTGCGTAGATGGTCATTCTGTGAACTGGTTTCAGTAAAAGATTGTAGTTGTTCTTCTAGCTGTTTAACTTTTATCTAGAGGAAAAACAGAAAAGCAATACAATAAGAAAAATAAATTTAAAATAAACAAAATTTTTAAAATATATTTATATATTCCAAAAGGAAAAAATATGAGTTTTGCAAAAAAATTACAGAGAATCCTTAATACTTGCAAAAAATAAGCCTAAGTCTTTTTAATTATGCAAAAACATCCTATTTCAACTCACAGCTAAAAGTAGGCTATAGACATTTAAATGTACCAAGATAACTCATTTAGTTTCTATTGTTTATAGACACACCAAATGGACATGACTCATGAATATAACAGTGAGATTTTGTGGTTAATATATTTCAGTTTTAATGGAATTGGATAATTAGAATTGTCAACTTGCAAGAAGCAGCCATAGAGTCTTGTGTTTTATTGACAGAGAATTATAAAAGTTGAATAAATGGAATTCTTATATGCTGAATTATAATTTAAAATTAACTCATAAGGGGACCACTCACTTATTTCTCTAAAAAGTTAACATTTGGGGGGATATCATTTAATATATACTTACAAATCTCCAAACCCTGTGTTTTTCCATATTTTCTTCCTCTTATCTCCAATCCTCTTATACAAAACAACTAATATTACTGAGCTTACTCCTGGATCAGGAAAAATTTCATCCAAAATTTTCTATTTAAATCAACTTTTTCCTCTTTTGCTATCTTTAATTTTTCTTATCTGTGGAGGGCAAATATCTCTTTGGCAGTAGCTACTAGACATTTTCAGCAGCTGTTAAAATTTGAGTGCTAATATTAATTTTTTTAAAAGGCTGCATTAAAACCCATTTTTGTCTCAGGAAATCTCCCTTGTTCCATCAGTAGGATCCTTATTTCTCTCACCTTTGCCTGTTTCTGTTGCTACATTTGCATGGTGTACAGTGTGTAAAACATGTGCTATGGTTCCCCAAAGCCATCAGTAAAAATTAATCATGGTTTTCACTTAAGGTTCAGAATTAAAACAGTTGCCTCTAAATAGAGGTACTGATGCAACAATTATTCTCATTTTAAACATAAACTAATTGCTATTAACTCATAGAACCCAAGGGAAAATAGAGTGCATTTGACTATAAAGACTTTTAGGTTTGCCTCTCTTCAAATAACACACAGAATGCTCTTATTCCCCAATATTCCTCAGATTATATAGTATGATGCCCTGAAACTCATCAGATAGCATGTTATCATCTAGTACTTTATATTGTGTTTCTTTCTTTCTTTCTTTTTTTTTTTTTGAAACAGAGTCTCACTCTATTGCCTGGGCTAGAGTACTGTGGCATCAGCCTATCTCCCAGCAACCTCAAACTCCTGGGCTCAAGCAATCCTTCTGCCTCAGCCTCCTGAATAGCTGGGACTACAGGCATGCGCCACCATGTCCGGCTAATTTTTTCTATATACTTTTAGTTGGCTAATTAATTTCTTTCTATTTTTAGTAGAGACGGGGGTCTCACTCTTGCTCAGGCTGGTCTCGAACTCCTGACCTTGAGTGATCCGCCTGCCTCAGCCTCCCAGAGTGCTAGGATTACAGGCATGAGCCACTGCACCCGGCCTGGAGTTTCTTATTTGGCAGAATTTCTAACTCAGGACATTCAAAATAAGAAAGAACGGGCCAGGCATGGTGGCTCACACCTGTAATCCTAGCACTTTGGGAGGCTGAGTCGGGCGGATTGCTCAAGGTCAGGAGTTCGAAACCAGCCTGAGCGAGACCCCGTCTCTACCAAAAATAGAAATAAATTAATTGACCAACTAAAAATATATACAAAAAAAGTTAAGCGGCATGGTGGCGCATGCCTGTAGTCCCAGCTACTTGGAGGCTGAGGCAGTAGGATCGCTGAGCCCCAGAGTTTGAGGTTGCTGTGAGCCAGGCTAACGCCACGGCACTCACTCTAGCCTGGGCAACAAAGTGAGACTCTGTCTCAAAAAAAAAAAAAAAATAAGAAAGAACATAGAAGGACAGGCCAGAAGCAAATAAATCCTGCTGCCTCTCAGAGTTCTGGTGTTTCCATGATCACTAAAATCCAAGCTAGTTTCTATAACTAGCTTATCAGCCAGACCCAGGAATAGCAGTGATTTGGCTCAAGGCCAGATCCCCATTTTATTTCAAACCATACACACACACACACACAATTACAAAATAATAACACTATAGAAACTACAAGATAGCTAGGAATAGAAAGGACCTCTCATTTAAATCTGTTTTGTAATACAAATATCCCAAAGTAATGCAATTAATACATTTTAGTGCATTTATAGTTTGAAGTGAGCTTCATAGTTATAACAACCTGAGCTGCCAAAGCCAAGTATTTTGATTAAAAGTACAAAAATAGATTCAGGAAACTGATAATTTCTGTGCAGCATAGATTTTTTTCTTTTAAAACACTTACCTATTATCCATATAATAGAATATCAACAATGCAAATCAAAGAACCTACACAACAAACAACATGGATGTATCTCACAATTATAATATTGGGTGAAAGAATCAAGAAATAAAAAAGCATATACTGGGTAACTACATAAAGTCCAAATACAGGTAAAACTTATTAATATATGGGGTGTTAGAAGTCAGGAAGTATAATTACCCTTGTGGGGGATAGTTATCGGAAGGGAATTTTAGATGTTGAGAATGTTCTATCTAGGCCAGGCACGGTGGCTCACGCCTGTAATCCTAGCACTCTGAGAGGCCAAGGCGGGTGGATCATTTGAGCTCAGGAGTTTGAAACCAACCTGAGCAAGAGCGAGACCCCGTCTCTACTAAAAATAGAAAGCAATTAATTGGCCAACTAATATATAGAGAAAAAATTAGCTGGGCATGGTGGCGCATGCCTGTAGGCCCAGCTACTCGGGAGGCTGAGGCAGAAGGATTGCTTGAGCCCAGGAGTTTGAGGTAGCTGTGAGCTAGGCTGACACCATGGCACTCACTCTAGCCTGGGCAACAAAGTGAGACTCTGTCTCAAAAAAAAAAAAAAAAAGTTCTATCTTGACATGAGTGCTAATCACATAAATAATGTTTATTTTGTAAACAATTAATTGGGCTATGCCATATGTACTTTTTGTATATATGTTATAGTTCAATAAAAATTTACAAAACAAAAAATAAAACAAACAAAACACTTAACTTCTAAATTAAGGTCACAAATGCAGTTGCTTATGGGGCCAGGCAGCTAACATAATGTTGGAATCCAGTTGGTGTAAAGTGATGGGGCCAGTGGTGGATTACAGCAACGCTAAGGAACTCAAACTGACATATACTTAAGACCAATTTAAAAAGTGTTGGAAATCTCTCAAACATATATAGTAATATCCCATCTACCTCTCATTCAACTTAAAATAATAAAACATTACTAGTACAATTGAAACCCTCTGTGTAGCCTATCCCAACCAAATTTTCTCCCTCTATCCTAGAGTTAACCACTATGCTAAATTTGGTGTTTATCATTCCCATTCTATAAAAAAATAGTTTTACTATATATTTATTCCTAAATAGTATGTAGTATTGTTTTATGAGATTCATCCATGTTAATGCATGTAATTCTAAGGTACCTATTTTAATATACCCTCTTACATATATTGCTTTTAAAATTGGCATAACTACTTTTTGGAGAAATTTGACAAAATCTAGTAAAATTCAAGATATGCACATCCTACAGCCCAATAATTCTATTCATGAGAATTATACTCAGCCTAGTATATTTTCTTGCAAATGAGTATAAGTAAACACGTACAAAAATTCATATCAGCATTGTAATTGTTTGCAAGCAATTGAAAACTTGCTAAATATCCATCAATAGAATAGAGAAATATATTGTGGCATATTTATATAATGAAATACTACACAGAACTGAAAATGAAATTCAAACTATGTTTGAATGTGAGGCAGCAGTTTCTGACACAGTCTAAATACACACCTAAAATATAGTATTTATACCATTCCTTAACAATTCTGAAAATATAGTTTTTATGTAAGATGATTCCTATGTAGTATTTTTAATCCATCCTAATCCAAGTGAGGGAGAACATACAGCAGACTATTGTTTCAACTATTTAGTATGCAGCTCTTCTTTTAAACTGTCTTGCAAAAATTATATGCTGTAGGAGCACTTTCCCTACAGCTAATGAAGTCAGTGCTTTTGGACTGTGCCAGCCCAAGGCTTGACATAAAAGCACCAGTGAATCAATAGTTTCAAAAATGTTTCAGCCTTCAAAGATTATAAAAGAAAAATCTTAACCTCTTACTATAGGAACATGAGCAGCAAAAAAGCATATATTTGACTTACGATTATGTGGATAATTTCTAAGATTACATAGTAGAGGTCTTAAAGGTCAGATGGGTAACATCAGACACATTCATAAATTTTAAAATATATCCCATTCCCAGCCAAAATCTGGCTGTAAGTCTGCCCTGAGGTCTTGGGATTTGTCTTATAAATTTAATAAGGTACTTCATTTCTCTTGGGAAAGCTTAAAAAAGATCAAAATCATGGGTCATAACTTCTTATGAGATCATTAGTTTCACAAAGGGGAAAGTTCTTTCAGACCAGCAATAATTTATACATCCAGCCTGTAATGTTGCCTATTTTTCCCAGTGAGAAGTAGGTTAAGAGAAGTATGCTTACCTGCCTCGTTTTATTATGTGATTAAGATTAAACTCAAGAAAACTTAAGATGTGTCCAGGATCACACAAGTGTAGATAATTATAATTAAATGCATCACTACCTTTGGAAAATATTAATTAAAAGCAAATAGTGGACAAATAGTTTTATCTTTTTATTAGACTAGTTACATATTGTTCCACAAGCCTGGCTTACCAACCACCTTTCAGACAGCTTGCCATTTCTGGGCCCCATCTTGTCTGCTAACCCTATGGTAAATCCTTTCAGCAGATGAGGATGAGGTTAATGCTCACATGTCTACAAGTCTCTAGTGAAATTACTTATTAAATCAGCTCTACAGTTGCCCCTATGATTTAAATGTGGTTTGTCTCTGCCAAAACTCATGTTGAAATTTAATTGCCAATGTACTAAATTTTGAGAAGTGGTAGGACCTTTAAGAGGCATCTGGGTCATGAGGGATCTGTTCTCATGCAGAGATTAAAGCAGTCTCAGAGGAGTGGGTAAGTCCTTGCTCTTGCAGGAATCGATTAGCTATATTAAGAACAGGTTGGTATAAAGTGAGGCTGCCTCTTGTATTTGGTCTCTCTGTCCACTTCCCCATTTGCTTTCTATCATGAGTTGAAGCAGCACAAGGCCTTCACCAGATGGCCTATCTAATCTTGGACTTCCCAGGCTCCAGAACTGTAAGCCAAATAAACTTATTTTCTTTACAAATTACCCAGTCTTAGGTATTCTGTTATAGCAACAGAAAATGGAGTAAGATAGTTGCCACGCCTAACTGGGCTTCACTTCATACCATTTAGTCCAGTAGTCCTCAACTGTGGTTGCACACTGGAATCATATGAGCTTGACATCTAAGACGTATCCCCTAAGATTTTGATTTCATTGCTTTGGGGTACAAATCTAGTCATGGGAGTTTTTCCCCTGCACTTCATTATAAAAATTTTTAAACATATATTAACAGAAAAATTGAAAGAAATTTACTATGAACATGCATATGCCTACCATCCACATTCTACCATTAACATTCTTTACTTATCACATATCTATCCACCTATAATTCTCTCTATCCATCCACCAACCCCTTTTATTAATAATGCATTTTAAAGTAAATGGGAGACATCATACACTTCCTAGCATGAGGATTTTTTTAAACTGCCCAGATGATTCTAATGTGTATCTAAGGTTCAGCACCACAGATTTGGACTTCAGTGTTTCCAAAGGAGTTGGGTTAAGTCAGACTTAGCATACCACTTGCAAGCTTCCTTGCTCTGTAGGTACCATAGGAACTAAACCTACAGGCAGCAAAATAACAGTAACATCACATTCTCTCAAGTCTATTCTATTGCCTCTGAGTCCTAATTTCTAGAGCTCTTTCTTTTTAGGAATGTGTTATTAAAAGAGAGAAAGAGAGGGAGGGAAGGAGAGAGAGAGCGTGCGCGAGTGCACACAAGCATAGCCTTTCTACTTTCTCAGTGAATGATCATGCATAAAACAGTTATAATAAAGCTTCAAATAGTCACAAAATGGGTTTTGACTTCACAATTTTAGGTTTCAGAAGTCACCTGAATGTTAATAAGGCAACAAACACAGGAGATTCAGAGACTATAGAATTAGTAAATAACAGAGTGAGGTCTTCTCAACATACAGCAGTATTTAGTTTGACTATTGATATTTAAAAAATCAGAAAATAAATCTCATACCTGGAGTTTTCCCTTTTCATAGGCCAATTTATTTTTACTCTCAGTAATTTTTCCCAAGACTTTTTCCACCTTCTGTTGGGCAAGCTGATGAAGCAAACACAGGCATCAGTACTTCTAGGCATAGAAAGGAATAACCATTTTCCCTAAGTATTTATACCATTTCTATAGTCATAAGATAAAGATTCATATTTGCTACTACTGCCTCTTAATATTTCACTACATAGCTTATCACAGTGCTAATGTGCAACATGTACAGAGACTGCTAATAAAAGTAGGAAGCCTTAAAAGTCCCAGAATTTGTTTTTGCATATAAATTCTTTTTTATGTCAGTTATTCCTTTCTAGTTGTGATCCAACCAGACATGTTGTACTGTATCAATGGTTGTAGGTACCCCAAGGAGTATTATACAGTTCTTTAAGAAAACAGGAGCTACAACTGACCATGACCACTGACAGTAGAGTACATTTCTGTTACCACAGTAAAATGCAGTTGAAAAAATCTCTAGGCCAGGCACAATGGCTCACACCTGTAATCCCAGCATTTGGGAGGCCAAGGCAGGAGGATCACTTGAGGCCAGGAATTCAAGACCAGCCTGGGTAACACAGTGACATCTCTACAAAGAATTAAAAAAATTAGCCAGGCATGATGGCACATGCCTGTAGTCCTAGCTATTCGGGAGGATTCCTTGAGCCCAGGAATTCAAGGTTACAGTAAGCTATGATCGTTCCACTGCACTCCAGCCTAGACAAAAGAGTGAGACCCTGTCTCTTAAAAAAAAAAAAAAAAAAAACTCTAAAGAACAAAGAAAATGTTTATTGGAGACTCAACTCACTTAACACTGTTATGTGGGATAAACACTACTAAAGGTTCTATATTTCATAAAATTATGTAATTTCATTATTAAAACAGCCTTTAATGACGGTTATTTTTTATATATTGTTTTCCTCAGACTTTGTCAGAAAAAATAAGATACAGTTTTCTCTTGATTAAATTTTTGGCCATATTGGTACTTCCATTTTTTTTGGTTTTGTTTTTTTTTTTTTTGAGACAGAATCTCACTCTGTTGCCCTGGGTAGAATGCCGTGGCATCAGCCTAGCTCACAGCAACCTCAAACTCCTGGGCTCAAGCAATCCTGCTGCCTCAGCCTCCCGAGTAGCTGAGACTGTAGGCATGCGCCACCATGCCCTGCTAATTTTTTCTATGTATTTTAGTTGGCCAATTAATTCCTTTCTAATTTTAGTAGAGACGGGGTCTCGCTCTTGCTCAGGCTGGTCTCGAACTGCTGACCTTGAGTGATCTGCCTGCCTCAGACTCCCAGAGTGCTAGGATTACAGGCATGAGCCACCTCGCCCAGCCCTGGTACTTCCTTTTTATAATGAGAGCCACAATCAGTCATTGAATATGGAAATTTCCACCCCCCCCCCAATCAATGTCAGGGTATTAAGGAAATATTGATATTTGCCATATGTCAAAATCATCTTCATAAACCAAGTGTGGGCATAATGCACATGCAAGCAAATGTGACTGAGAACAAGCTCTCACTCATTCATAGGCTAACTAGCTGCACTATGGATCATTTACAATAAATCTTGAATTCAAAGTCATTAATTTTGGCAAATATCCTACATTGGTATAATTCACTATCTCTGGCTTATAGTTGCTTAAGTTATGAATAGAGGGCCCTTTAAGCATTTTAAACCAAAGAATTTAGACTTCTGTCTTCCACTTTGAATAAGTTGGTAAATATGAAATCATATATATTAGGGATATTAATTTACATGAGAGATATTCCCCACTATCTCCAACATAATTATAGGTATTCTTCAGTTACCATTTTGGCACTTTATTTCAAGTGTTGTGACACCAACACAATAGTTTTTATTATTTTATTTTTGTTCTGAGACAGTGTCTTGCTCTGTCATCCAGGCTAGAGTATAGTGGCACGATCATAACTTACTGCAGCCTCAAACTCCTGGGCTCAAGCCATCTTCCTCTATCACCCTCCCAAGTAGTTGAGACTACAGGTGAGGTGTGTGCCGCCACACTCAGCTAATTTTTCTTTTTTCTTTGTTTTTTTTTGTAGAGATGAGGGTCTCACCCACTATGTTGCCCATGCTGTTCTTGAATTTCTGGCCTCAAGTGATGTTCCCACCTTGGCCTCCCAAAGTGCTAGGATTCTAGGCATGAGCTGCTGCATCTGGCCTGTTTTTAAACAAAAGCAAAAACACATTCCAAACTAGATTACTATATAATGATATGTAACTCATAGTTGTCTTCTGTTCAAAGTATTTTCACCATAGCATATGTTCTATGAGAAGGCACACTAGTCTGGAGCAATGTTTTCTCCTTGGTAGTTGCCTTGACTAGAAGAATTAGCATTTTAGACAGACAACACTTCATAAAAAAACCTATGGACAAGCCATAAAGAATGATTAGCCCCAGTATACCACCTACCCTTAAATTATGCACATTCAATATAAAAACATGTACTCTAATTAGGCTTCAGTTTATTATTAACTATTATGACCATCTAAGTATCTGTCCTATCAGAATCAGTATTTCATCCACAATTATATACATTCATAATTCAGTTTCTTGAACTTTTTAAAAATCACTATGTGTTGCCCCACTAAGGTAAATGAAAATATATTTTCTAAAGCATTTAGATCAGTAGTATATTGGTTTCAAAATAACCTAAGGGAAATGTAGACTGCTATCAACAAATAGGAAACTAGAAATAATCATCATAAAGTTAATCATCAATTTTCTGTTTGTGGAAGATACACAATTCTCTTTGTCATAATATTTTTTTTTTAGAAACTGTGATGTAAAATCATTCCATGAGTGCAATATTATAGTTTGGGATTATGTTTTGACCAAATCTTCAGCAGAAAATGAATTATAAGGATGGCTAATAATGCTACAAAAACAAAGTTACAATAAAAATAAAAGCTTATTTAAAACTCATTTCCAAGTTCTATAAATTAAGGTGTCCTAATGTAAAGTGTAGGTATAGCATATAAAAAACACCCAAGAACTAGATTTAACCTAAAATATGCTAGCTATAACAAATATTAAACACTCAAAAATAACTTTGCTTATCTTCTTGGAATGTGGAAATGTTTTTTTATGGAATAACTTAGATGATCTGGTTCTTTTATAAAGGGTATCCAGGAATTTTTTAAATAATGGCACTTTTTTCTCCTCAATAAAATTCCCTCTTTTAGGCAAAGGCATAAAGAAATTCCACTAATCTTTTAAATATACTTTTAAAATAATAATTTCCCCTTTTTGCCACCAAAGAGAATGCTCATGAAATAATGAAAACTGTTGGCCAGGCGCGGTGGCTCATGCCTGTAATACTAGTACTCTGGGAGGCCAAGGCGGGCGGATTGCTCGAGGTCAGGAGTTTGAAATCAGCCTGAGCAAGAGCGAGATCCCGTCTCTACTATAAATAGAAAGCAATTAATTGGCCAACTAATATAAACAAAGGATACCACAAATATATATTGGAAAGAATCAAAAAAAAAACATATACTTGTAACTACATAAAGTCCAAACATAAACATGATATAGGTGTTAAATCAGGAAGTATAATCCCTGTGGGGAATATACGGAAGGGGAATTGTGAGTTGAAATGGCTATCAGGCCAGCACATCTCACGCCTGTAAGCCTACACTCTAGGCCAAGGCGGTGATCATTTGACTCAGATCGAAACCTAACTGAGCAAGACAAACCCCCGTCCACAAAATAGCAAGATGAATGCCAACAATGTATAAAAAAAATAGCTGCATGGGGCGCATCCCTATCCCAGCTACTCGGAGGCTGAGGCAGAAGATGCGCCATGAGTTTGAGTCGAACTAGCTGACACCATGGCACTCACTCTACCTGGCAACAAAGTGAGACTCGCTAAAAAAAAAAAAAAAAAAGTCTATCTGACATGAGCAATACATAAATAGCAGTTTTTGAAACAAAATTGGCGATGCATACACTTACTTTTGTATATATTAGTTCATAAATACAAATACAAAAAAAAACAACAAAAACGTAACTTCTCAATAAGTCACAAACAGTGCTATGGGCCAGGCAGCTAACATGAATGTGGAATCTAGTTGGTAAAGATGGCCATGTGATTACACAACGCAAGGAAACCAAACTGACCATACTACGTACAGACAAGAAAAAGTTTGAAACCCAAACATATATAGTAATACCCCATTAACCCATGTCAACTTAAAAAATAAAACAGTACTATACAATAACCCTGTGTAGCCCATCCCAACCAAATGTCTCCCTCTATCCTAGATTAACCCTATCAAATTACATCCCATTCTATAAAAAAAATTTGACTAATATCTGTAAATAGAGTAATTGGTTTTATCAATTCCTCATGGAAGCAGAACTAGAGGACATTAAATACCTCTCTTACATATATGGCTTTAAAATGCAAGACACTTAGAAATTAATGACAAAATCATAAAATTCAAGATAGGCACATCTACAGCCCAATAATTCCATTCATGAAAAACGCAGCCTAGATATTCTGCAAAGAATATAAAGACAACCACAAAAATCATATCAGCATTGTAAGTTTCAGCAATTGAAAACGCTAAATAGTCCACATAGAATGAGAGAAAAATGCATATTATATAAAATACTACACAGAAACGAAAAAATCAACCATGTGTGATTGAGCCATTCGCACATCTAAAACAACACCGAAAATATAGTATTTAATACCATTCTTAACAATTGAATAAGTTTTTATGTAAAGATTCCTATGATTTATTTAATCCCCATCCTAATCCAAGAGGAGAAACATACAGCAGACTATTTTCAATATTTAGGGTAGCAGCCTTCTTTTAAACTGCTTGCAAAATTATATGGCTTAGAGCCACTTGCCCACAGCTAATGAAGTCAGTCTGACTGCGCCAAGCTACCATAAAAGCACCAGTGCAAGTTCAATAGTTTCAAAAATGTCACCTCAAGATTATAAAATAAAAACTAACTCTTACATAGCATACAGCAAAGCATTATTGAACTTAGATATTTGATAATTTAAGATTACAATAGAGGCTTTAAA